AGATCAGAACTTTCATTTAAAACACGGCGGGGAGGCAAACCCGCCAGAAGAAAATGAAAGAAATTCACAAGTTCGAATTTAAAGATTAGTCAATCGTTCAATTTGTAGTTCGGTGGGAATTACTTAACTCGAGAAGCGTTACACGTGCTCGACGAATTTCCCTGCGCTTTTTAAAGATAAAAAATTTTGCTTTAAAAATGCTCAGAGAAGCATAGATAATTTATTCCTACCCGGAATTAGATTCAAGGAGTAAGAGCGTTCCCTACCCCACGTGGGGTCGCCTTCGTATCCGCTATGTGCTCGAGGGAGAACACCGACGCACGCGTACTTCCGGTGCTTGCCAATTCCCGACGGGTGTAGCGGCGGTAAACAACTGCCGATTGCACCAGTGGCGGTTGTCTGGTAGCGATTCCCGCCGAAGCGTTAACGCCTACCTTACCTAAGTTGGTCTGTCGCCCAGAAATTAGGCTTTCTGTGTTCTACGAAAGTGAAGTGTTCTAGAAGCCGTCTTCCTCTCCAGTAAACTAAGGCTATACCTCAAGCATATCGCGAGGGGATGCGAAAGCTCGAGTGTATTGGCTTCAGAATACGCTATAGACCTGATCAAAGGATTTGATCGCCCTACGACAGCATAGCTAACGGGCTCGTCAGCGGCTGAGCGAAACGGGCTAAGGCTATTTTGTGCAGTGCTTATGCAAGTAAAATGAACCTTATTAAGTAATCACTGGCGGCGCATGAAAGTAATTTCACAGAATCACCGGGATCACGCCCAGCGTGAGTCACTCCCGCCTCACAAGCGCGAAACCAAACACTTCACTCGCGCAACTGTAAACAGTTATTAGAACAGTGGTTACTTAATTTAACACATAACAATTTTAAGGCGATTGCCTTACAATTATCAAATGATAATTGCATGAAAAAGTGTTACTAAAACTCACTTGGTGATACACAGAGAAGACGGTGATGCAAAGCAGTCACCAGAGGAGCTGCGCAGCAGCTCGGGCGAGTGGGTATCAGCGATTGAAATTTAAGAACACGTAAGCTGCGCCTACACCGCTGCTGCCGCTCAAGGTCAACGGAAGGAAAGCTGGCGATGGCGGAAATCATTTCCGCAGAGCGATGGTGGCAATCATTTTCGCAGAGCGATGGCGGCAATCATTTCCGCAGAGCTTTCTTCCTTTTTCTTTACTGATACGATCAAATTCGAGGAAGAAACAATCCAAAAGATCAAATAGAGCTTTCAACGTGTTAAAAGCAAACAGCCTAAAACGGAGTTTGCTCTAATTCCATGTATCAACGCTGCTCGTCACGCAATTCCAGTGAAAGATTGAACAGAGCTTGACTCCCCGTCGCGCCGGTCTCGATGGTCGGGACTGCCAAAGGGAAGCGACTTTACCATAATATTCCAAGCAGTCAAAATAGTTGTGGCCAGCAAATTAATGCAGATAAGACTTGCAGGTCTAGACATAGTGGTAGAGTGGGGTGCTTACCTTCCATGTGTCAAATGCACCCGTACTGTGTTAAAGGGGGCTTAACATGTTCATCCACTTGCCTGTACCAAGGGCTTCCACTCTGAGCATTCAAATCAAGGCTGCAACTCGCCCTTATGGTCGCAGCGAGACGGAAGTCAACCAAGCTAGGGACGCTAGACATGTATACTTGGCGGAGTCATTGGTTCTGGCCTCGCTGAATTGTGACGACATTCGGGATCGTTTTGAGGCCCATGAGGACCGGAATGCGGGAGACATCATTATTGCTGAGGGATCAACCGCACAGATTCAAGCAAATGCCACTTACCCACACTGATGGCCTAGCTATGTGACTCAGCGCCTACTACTCAGGCCACCCTTGTACGAGATGCTGCTAAACCTACGTGACTATCAGGGGTTGGACCGAATCAATCAAGCCAGTGTCATTATGGAACCTATAGTAGTGTGCTGTGAAAGACGTGCGATTACAGAATGCTTTGGAGGTGTGGTGGATTTTGATCCTGACTGGCCTTCAGACCGAGTGCGCGCCCTTTTATTGTATTTGGAGAGGAAGAACGTCCCATCAATTCAATCCTGGAGATGGACTCTTGCCCATGACTCATTGTTCATGCGAAGAGCAGCCTGCATGCACGTTGGCCCAAGAAAACAGTAATTAGAACAGTATAATTACGGTAACCATAAATCTTCAGGAGACGATCTTCATGAAGACTTGACACGTAACATGTTGGTTACGATAAAAATCTACAATAACGACTACACTCGCCAACCTGCTCGAACAAAATTTAAAATGATCCAATGAATGAGCTAACGCATAACCAATGTACCAACTTCTTTGTGGCTAGGTTGATTGACAAGCATGTACTCGCTCCCGGTATTGTTTGCGTTCTCACGTCAAGGCTTATGAATTCATTGCCTCTAAAACCCCATTCTTGCATTTCAAATAAGTCTTCTAACTGGGAAGAAGACTGGAAAAGAGAACTTCAAATTTAATTACGTCTTTGGTCCCGATACAACCCAGGAGCGCATCTACAAAGAATGCGTCCAAAAAAATATTAGAAAGATACGCAATGGTAAGCTAGCTTTCAATCCATGTGTATATTGCTTGTAATTTTTGAAGAAAGTGTATAAGTATGTTAATGTAGGCATTTAGATACAGCATAAGGTTGTTATCTAATCTTAAGATCTAATCTAATAACATAAGCTGTTTTCCAATATCCAAATTCTACATCTCCAGGATTAAATATTACCATTTTATTTAAATAATATCTTTCAATAATATCTAAAGTCTTTCAGTAATATCTAATATCTATTATCAGGTTAAATGTTATAAATGTCTTCTGAATTTATCACTAGTTTGGTTTAGCAATATTCTTATCTAATTTGATAATTTGTTTATTTCCAGGATCAACATTCACCATTCTGGCCTATGGCCAGACTGCTTCTGGAAAAACGTATACCATGGGAACGGGGCGGCAGCGGGATGGCGACTTGGGAATAATTCCCAGGGCCATCTATGACCTCTTCGAAGATGTTGAGGAGCGGCCTCGTAAAGACCGCATCTCCTTCTCATTTGTTGAGGCAAGTCATTCATTGCTTGTGTCCATCTAATATTCTCACTCTTTGTGTGCATTTATCACCTATTTTATTCATGTGATGCATTTTTGTTGATAAGAAAAAGCATCATAGACCAATAAAAATTTTTTGTCATACGTATTATTTGTGATGGATTGTTCAAAGTTGTACAAGTTTTATTTAAACATGAATAAATATGTTTATTTATCTTTCCTTCTGCTAGCAGACTATTTCCTCGGATAGCTACTTTTACCGCTAGGATTTGATAATATATAAAGCTCATAAATATCATAATGTGGAAAATTAATGTTTATAGTATTCACAATTCTTATGCGTTTGCAGATATACAAGGAGAAGATGAAAAATTTACTCGCTGCGACTGGACAAGGAGCAGTTTCCAAGCTAGCCTTTCCCGACGTTAACGGATCCACTTTTATCAAAAGTCTCACCGAGCTGCCGGTGGCGTCATACGAAGTTGCCATGCGGTATTTTGACCAAGTCAGTACCAATTTTTATTGCATTTTTTTGTGATGTCCATATTGACCTTTCTTCATTGTTATGAGTTCTTGTTAGTTTTAGTTAGTTAGTTTTTCTTCTTGTTGAGCAGGGCTGTCTCGACCGAGTTTCGGGCATTACCGCCAAGAACCGGGAGAGCAGCCGGTCGCACGCCGCAGTCATCGTGCGCTGTGATAGTGTGGCATTGGGAGACAGGTGACTTGCCCCTCTTACTCTTCTTTGTTGACTCTAGTGGGTAAGGGACTAATCATCAGGTTTCATATCTGAATCTGAAAACTTTTTGGTTGATATTCCAGGATTTGATAATACATTGTAAGAACTTAGGAGCAAAAATACATTTAAATTACCGTATATTCCATTTACATCAAATTTTGCATGTATGCTTAAGTGACTGTTATATTTGCAGCGACAAGGTAGTAACCGGTAGGCTACTTCTTGTCGACCTCGCTGGGAGCGAACGACCGGCGAAAGGCGCGACTGGCGAGGGGTCCAGCATAAACATGGGGCTGCTCAGTCTTGGTTTGGTAGTGCAGGCCCTCGCTAATTCGGCCCCGCATGTCCCCTACCGCAACTCAAAGCTTACAATGCTGCTTAAAGGTAAGACTTGTATTTTTAGAATAAAATGTATGATGCAATAAAACTTTGTGGTATTTGTTGATTAAATTGTATGCGTTTTGTCATGATGTTTGCCGGTTTCTCGGAATGCTGCAGACTTTCTGCAAGGACCCTAGGGTGTAAGAGCGATTCACTCATCATCGCATGCGTTTCTCCTCACCCCAACTGCGCGGAGAAGACGAAGAAGACGCTGCAGTTCGCAAGGCAGGCGTTGAAAATTGGATACGACCCGAAGCAAGCAAGTATCGCTCGTCTTGAACGAGATGTACAGTCGGTGGGTTCTACAAATCACGAAACGTGTATTTGTCGTGCCAGATATTTGAAAAAAATGGTACGAGTGAATGAAAAGTGTGCAAGGATAATTAAAAGTATGTATGTAAACACTTGAGCTAAATATCGTATATCGAGCTGTAAACATATCTAGCTAAATAATATAGACGAGGTAGTGACCGGCAGGTTGCTACTTGTCGACCTCGCTGGTAGCGAACAACCGGAGGCAGGCGCGACTGGCAAGGGCTCCAATATCAACCTGGGGCAGCTCAGCCTTGGCAGTCATGGACGCCATCGTCAATTAGTCGATCTGGTTCATGGACGCCATCAGAATAGCAACCACCAGATAAGCGACGAATCTATGTGAGAATAATTTACATACTCCGTTAGGAGGTAACTTTCCGCTATACATAGCGGTACACTTTGAGTGTACAGTGTTGCACATATACACGTTGCAAAAATAAATGGTATGGGCGCCCCCATTCAGGGTATCTATTGTACAGGCTCTCGCCTTTATTCATCTTTTGATGCTGAAAGCAGTGGCGAATTCTATGCACACCAGACTCTTGAACTGGACTTGTGTTGTCCAAAGCCGCTCCGCAAAAATTTCCAGAGGTTTGGTTTCAACTACGCCAACTTCAACAGGACTAACCCGGAGAATGAACTTGCGTCGGCGGCGGCAGATTACACGCCAGCCGCAAATAGTAGGGCCACGGCTTTAATGCATGCCAACAGCATCGACGTGGAAGGCACTACCACGGTCATCGGGGAGGATATACGAATCAACCCAGCTACACGACGACCAACTACACCGCGATCCTACTCTAATCTAAACAATAGCGACGTTCTATGGACCAGGTGGAGTTGTCCAAATTGACGGGGCTAGATTCTGCTAAGACCTGACGAGGTCTGCATATAATGACGAACTTTAATTCATTGAATTCAAACCGAAAATCCTGCGAGGATGGCAAAAGCCGCCAACTCTAATTCTGAAAATGCGGTGCTCGGCACTGAAATATTCGAAGCTAATGAGGTCTCAACTGCTGTAGACGAGACAGTCAATGGAAACAATGTGGTGCCTTGCAGGAGCAGGTGACTAATTCTCAGTTGAAAAAGAATCAGAATCTTTGCTTGGCGAGCGAAGAATCAGTTTCTGGAGTCGGAGATACGTAAACTGTAGGAGAGCACGGCCTCTATTATCGAAGAGAAGAACACCCTTTTGCCGGAACAACTTGAAAGTTCTGAAAACGCAACTTCTTACCATTAAAGCTAGTGTCCAAGGCTCAAGGTAAAAATTAGCCTTGACATAATGTTGAAAACTAGCAATGTACCCTAATTTCAATTTGTTCCCAGCCTGTTTTTGAACTATACTAGCACTGCCTCATGCTCCTGCTAACAACCTTCACCTCGCAATCCACACTATCACAGGACTTGATACTATAGCTGGAAAAAGAGTTAAGCACGCTGCGCTCCAAGCCAACTATTCCAGCAAGACCGAGCGAGACCTGCGCGTCCTCGCCCGCATTCAAGAGTCACGAGATGGCCTCTAGTTCGCATCCTGCCTGATCTGGTAACTGCCGCCTCTCACTTGCTCAGCACTCTTGAGTACAGACTATACCACGAAGTATTACAGTTCGCAGCTACCGCCAGGTGTTGCGGCTGCGTGACGAGCTAAGGCGGCTCCTCGTACGCCTTTATAGCAGCGCAATCGCTGTCGGAGACCACAGCTGCTTTTCTTCAAAAGGATTTTCTTTAACGCATCATTGCCTTGCCATTAACGCTAGTTAACACAGCTCTTGGTAAAAATAACGTGTAGAAATAACCATGTATTATGTTCCATAACTAATCAATCATTAGAACCAACATGTATTATAGTCCGTACTTAATCCTTCACAATTCTGAAGGCCCTTTTTTACCTTTAGTTTTCCGAAATTATGTCGTCCTATTTGTATAAATTGACAGTTCACTGGAGGATGGCTTCAAACGCTCTTAAGAATATAATAAATAGGGTTCCATGCGCAAAGAACATTTCCCCTACCGGTCAACTTGCGGCGCCCAGTCAACATTATTGCAGATTGTACAACACTACTACCTTGAATGCCTTCGCAGAGTGGAGAATCCACTTAGAACATGCAACGAATTACGAGATGGCTGCACTATGCTGCCTAATTAGGCGATACCCATTACTCGTTCGAAAAATATCGTCCTAGTTACCTCAGGTCCCAGCCAAGAATTGTGACGCTCTCACGGTTTCGGTGAGAACTTGATCTAGGTACCTAGCTGGTGTGCTGTGTCTCGGGACTATATACGGAAGTTCCTGACAGGGTTGTCAGATGGGGCGAAGAGAAAAAGGCCAATTTGGCTGACATTAAAGGCCAAAAAACGGCGCGTCGTAACTTAACGAGGAATTTCTATATTCAAGGTAGTTACAAGTTACAACCGTCTACAGAGCGCACATCTTCTCTTCAAACTTACGGAAAACAAATATTACACCAATTTCACTATGACTACGCTCTAAATTCTAAATAACGGTCAATGCCAAGCTACAGCGAGTTATACATTACTTGCCGATCGTAACTGAAAACCGTATAATGCTTGCTAGTTAGTGGTCAGAATTTTGATTTTTCATATTCGATCGACACCTAACAACTATGAAGTTTTACGATCGCGCTAAATAGACGAGGCGTTGTCGGTAGAATACGTTACGATCAGTTAGCTATTGCCGGATCAGAAGTTAACACAGAGATCAGAGAGATGCTCAGTTGACGGACGTAACTCCATTGTCTTCAGCTTCAGCGCTAGAGAAACACTGAGCAAGAGAAAACTTTTCTAATTTAAAATTCTAACCAGGGTCGACAAAAAGTGATCTCTTTCTTTGGTGGATCAAATCAAGAAGTAAGGATGGCTGCTATACCCATTTCTGCGATAGAAAGATTATGTAGTCACTGCAGGACTAAAGTGAATATTGAAAGTCAATCATAAATTTTTCGAAACTTTTAAATGCTCAGAAAATATTCTATTACCAAACATTACGAGCGAAATACCTAATAGAAATCGAACCAAGTAATGGAATACCTTCCTAGTCTAAGGCAATTTGCTAAAAAATCATTTGTCAAAACTACCAAAGAACAAAACTACCACGATACTAAGTCTACCCTGTTAAAGTTAGTCAAAATATCCACGAATCAAAGTTTAAGGAGCGTACGAAGGATTATACTAATTCAAAGTGAAATTTATGGTGTTGTGCAGTAAAATGGCTGAATGTACCTATTGTGAAACAGCGCTGTAATTACAGAAATTACTAATGAATTTACTAATTTTCAGAAAAGTGATAATGGCCATCCATGGTTATTATATCAGTGGGCAACTGGATATAACCCCATGGTATAGTCCAAATTTGGGGGTCAGTTTTGTAGTCCCTGTGCGGATGTCCGCTCGTAGGTTCCCATCGCTCAGTTGAGCGGTGAAGGCACAATGTCATGAGGATTTGGCTAGGTCGTGAGATTAGTATGTGAGTCACCAAGTTGATGTACTGCAGACCTAGAGTTATCGGAGCAAGTTGCATTGCGTCAGATATTGCTTGAGGCTGTCTGTTCTAAAATTAGTTCGGGGAGTCTCCTTTAGCATCCTGGCAAGGGTTTCGTCTGGGTTCAGCAACACAGTATCAGGGAAGCAGTTCCTTCGGTCGGCGATGTAGTTTGGGCACTCTGTTGTCACGTGCATCACTGTCAAGGGGACTAGACAGTCGTGGCAGTATAAGGCATTGGGCAATGTTCCATAAGGTATCTGGGTGAGCCGTGTGTGGCCGATCCTTAATCTACACAGGGCCACTTACATTCGCCGCGATTTTTGGTAGGACGAGTTCCAGGTTTGTATGCTGTCTTTCAGAGCTCGCAACTTATTTCCCTCAACATTCTGCCATTGATTTCGCCACACCCTACGGATGCCTGCTCTGATTATGGGGTAATAGTCACGGCTTGGGATTTCTTAATTGAAGATCGCCATGTTTGCCGTTGCCGCGCTGATTGCCGTCTCGTCCGCCTTCTCGTTTCCACGCACCCCCACGTGGTTCGGCACCCACCAGACGCGCACCGTAATTCGCGCCGGCGCTATCTCTATCAGCCTCGTCAGGATATCTATAATGATGGGGTTCAGGAAATGATGATAATGATATAATAATACTGAAACTACGCGAGGTTCAGGGCGCTAAGCACTCCGGGAGTTCGGCAGTGAAGACCGATGAGTTAGGATTGAGTTTCCTTGATATCGTTGCGGCGCCGGACACAGCCGCACATCCCACAGCGTCATCTGATTTGGAGCCATCCGTGTAGATGTGCGTCGATCCCGCGTGTTCCGAAGATATATGATTTTGGAACCGATTTTTCAGTGCTGTCGGGTGTGTTGCAGGTTTTTGTAAGTCAAGAACCAGTAATACCTCTAGATTTCATGAGTGGGACTTGCATGATATTCGATTGACCAAGAGTTACTCGAGAAATCAAGGTTAAAAAGGGCGCCTTTGGTTAGTTTTTATGATATATACAATTGGTTTCACGATTTGTGGTATCAGTAGCACATTCCAGTCAAGTTCCATCAAGGCAATCCGAGTAATCAACGTTTGCCGTGTATTAGGCAAGCTCACTAAATTGCAAGACAAAAAAAAATTCTCTGACAAGATCTGCTGAACAGACGTTCTTCAGTAGCCCTACTTAAAGGATAGTAGAAAATATGGAAACTAATATTCAATTTAACTAATATGAAAAAAAATAATGGATTGAACACGATAGAATTCAGGGCTGAATAAGGCGTGCAATCTAATTTCGGAAGCTTGTAATGGAAGGCGAGCTTGTTAATGTCCCCACGCAACTTCTTCAAGAACAGACTAGACGAGGCTATGCAGGAGCATATGTTCAGTCTTAAAAAATGCCTAGCAAATTACGGACCAGGCAATAAGTCCAGCAGCTATCTCAATCAATCGTCAGCTATAGAAAGATCGGGTTCCAAAGGCCGGATCCCTTGTGAATCAAGTCACGAAAAGTTCAAGAATCGGCAACAGGCCATGGGCCTATTTCTTCAACGCCGACACTTCTATTCTATTCTAATGTAATACCGTACACTTCCATTCGATGCCAAGCTCCTCAAAAGCATACTGAGATTTTCCCAACGCTTATTCTCTATTCTTGAATAATTTAAAGTGGTGCAAGTCAACTGAAATTTGTACCGAGCGCAATCAAAAAGCAACTTTTAAATTTAAAAATAATTATGAAAAGACATTTGCATAAGAAAAAATCTGAAAGGGGTCCAAACTCCAAAATTTAAAACAACGCGGAAAAATTCCGTAGTTTGATAAACGACAAAATTTTGTCAAGATCGACAAGCACAGTTTTTTAACAACTCGGTTCGTAAATAGCCTTAACCTGGAAAACTCAAACAAACAAGCTTTAAATCAACCAATTTTAACAAGCTCATTCTTAATTTTAACAAGTTATTGGGAAACGCGTGTTCAATGCAATTCGTCATTGGAGACACGCAATTATTTCTACTTTGATCAAATTTCAGGATCCCATATCGAAGCAAACTAATATATATAAATGTACAAGAGATGGTGAGATATCTGAAGATCGAAAGGCAGTTGGGCGTCTTGAGTGAGGCAAAAGTGCAGCTAGAAACCCTCACACTTCCCGCTGCCTCTGTGGCTGGCCGACACTGAATATCCTAGCCGGAAGACATCAGGATAATGTATCAGGTCGAGCACTGGATGTAGTGATGCGCATCAGCTCTATTTCATTCAATATTTCATCCTCAACATGAGGCGGTAGATATTCAGCTTCACAGCCTTCATCAAGTAGTTCATCACTTGCTGCAGCTCTGGAGGATTTTTGATGCAATAAATCACTATGAAAGTGCCCGTTATTTTCTAAAGGAGCTCCTTTTACAACATTTTCACCAACAGCTGGAGGAACGCGAGCTGGTAATCTATTATTCTTGCATAGAATTTTATCAGTTAGTTCAACGTTCGTAATAGTCTTTTGAACTTAAATCCATATTGGGAAGCGATGGTAATGCTTTTCCGCTGCAGATTCTTGATGGTTTTGTAGGCGAATCTGGCGAAGATTCTGACACAGAATGTAGTTCTGCAGATGAAGACATGATTCCGTTGCTTGACAAAGCATTATTCAAATTGTCTGCGTTATCATAGCGGTGAAAGGTTGTTTTGCGAACGAGTTCTGGGCGACCTTCACGCAACATCCTGAACAGCAAAAGGCCAGGTTAGTGATGTACAGTCACTTAAGCTTGGCTTGCCACTGTAATTAATTAGCCCCTAATCAAATATGATTTACAACTGGCCTAACGTGCGTTTTGAGGGGTTAGAGTAGTACAAATATGTCTCAGATTTTTACATGCTCTTTGTGGGTTTCGTTTCACATAAACTTTCGTTCATGTGAAGCATCATTGTTATTGAGATGAGAAAAGTACAACCATGGCGACTGATGTTTTATTTCTTATTGCCTAATGTATTATTGACGGTAATAATAGCTACTGTCAGAAGTATTTCAGTTAAAATCGTTATTTACTGATAACATTTCATCTCTAATCAACACTTGAGTAATTTAACATTATAACAATCAGAAAGCTATCATAAATTATAGACAAGTTACCTTTCCTCCCAAACAGCGATATCTTTCTCGAATTTTCTGGTGATTTCCTTGCTCTTTTCTATGAAAACGTTGCGCTCAGCCTCTGATAAAGCTTTTCACTTGGCCACGGCTTTCGCCATGAAGGCTTTCTGCACTCAAAACATAATCAAAGGTTAGCATTGTAATCCCTGACCAAAAAAAAATAATGCACTATTTTTACTCATGGAGGAGCTCTCTGAAGCTTTTGCCGTTTGCATATAAATTTCTCCACTGGTGATAAATTTATAATATAATTTATTTTTATACAGCATTATTGATTTTATGTAATTTTTTAGAGAAAATTTCCACTGGAACTTCTGCTTTGGTCATTTCATTTTAAAATTGGATGCATAAGGAGGAAAGAATGACAAAACAAATAGGTTTCTGATTTGAGACAGAAAAATTGATTTGACTTTTCAATTCATCCTAGCTTCCTATGAATTATAAATAAAATATTGCATTGGATATTGGGAGTCCGTCCCAGGCGTTTCCACACGTCATTGGCACACTCCTAACATCTAACTAAGCAAGAATGAGAAGAAAAATTTCATTAGAGAATACAGCTGTAACAAATTTTGAGCCATTACATTTGAAAGCTCATAATTGCCCGTATGGTTTTATCACTCCAACATATGGTTTTATTCACTGACAGAGGAGTCTGAAAACTCTAGTTTCCAGCATTGGTATCATACACTTCTGAAATAAGTCTGAAAGCACTTATGCACCCAATTAATATAGAACACAATTTCCTTAGCTAAACATCAAAATAAAACAACCCTACTTTAGCATATTCACACACCTTATCTCCTTTCTCTGTGGAAGGCTCATCATGTCTGAGTGTATTAAGAAAGAGGAAGAAACAATTCTCTGGTTGCTTGGGACGATTCAGTCTTTCCATTTCTTTCTTCTTCCCTCTCTTGCTGAGTAATCTTTCTTTGCTCTTCTTCCTGCGGTCAACAGCTTCTTCTATGCTCTGTATTTGTTCTGGAGTCAACTGGCTGAGGTAGGCTTTGTATCTGTAAACAATTTAATGAAGTAAAAGGTTCAAAGGTCCAAACAAATTGGCCAAAATTAATAGATGAATATATCAAAGGGCTTCATTTAATCATTAACTCAAAATTAGCATTTAGGATAGAAACTTCTTATAAACTCAAAATTTAACTCGGAGCTCATTTCTTACTCATTGATGATTCATAATTTTCAGAATCAAACATTGAAAGCAACATGATTTAAAAAATGAATGAAGAGGAATAGAATAGCCTTGCCTAGCTTGGGAACGTAATAACTTAAATAATTGTAAAATGTATAATACATTTATTTTAAAAAGATGGAACAAAATATAAAATGGTACCATATTACGACTAAAACAATACAAACATTTTAATTAATTTGAATATTTACCACTTTCATTGAACTAAGGCAAGCCACATAGTAAATTTTCCAACTGAAAATCACATGCAGCAATAAAAGTCCTTGGCATCAACCATGACTAAGATGGTATATATCATTGATCAAATACCTACATAAATACATAAATATTAAAAGCTCACTTCAACTGATACTGCTTCTTTTCTTCATAGTATTCATTCAGGAGATGTTTTTTCTGTTCTTGAGTCTGGCTGTTCCAAATTTCTGACAGCAAACGTATTCTCTCTGCAGAAGTTCAGACAAATAAAATTGAAGTGTACCTCCATATATGTGATCACTTGATTATAAAATATCCATTGGGTAAAATTTACAACAATTGCACATGATACGTACGTAACTAAAGAGATAAGCATTTTGCCTCTGAAAAATCATTAAAATACTCCTTTAAGGAGGCAATATTATTACCTATTGGTCTCCATTACTGTTGATATTGTGCACTTATAACTGGATTCTGTCATTTCATTGCACATCAAAATTGGATGAAAGAATTTATTACACTTCAACACATGAATAATAAAATCAAATGTACTACACCTGTCCAAGAAAGATGTGGATATTCCTTGTGCCCTTTGCTCATGAATTTGGCAAAAGGCTGCAGTGGCTTGGTTGGTGGATCAGGCAAGTTAAGCTCATCAGCAATGCTCATCTTCCCGCAAACAGCAGAAGTTTGAGTAAACCTGCAACAATGAAACCTAATTAGGAAAGATGATAAACAATATGGTGATTACATGTTTCTTATAATATAAAAACATACAATATTATGATTAATTAATATATTTGTATGAAGAGGTTTCTATTCAAGTATATACTTTTCTCAAACATTGTAAGAGTCTTAGAGATGGTAATAGATGAAAGAGGAGATATTTGATAGATAAATAGATGTACACCCTGGCAAAGTGGTGGGAGGTATAATGTGATAGGCCTTCCAATACATTTTGTTGTATAAACATGTGAATATATTACCTATCCAGAACATCATGTTACAATTAATATCTATAGAGGAGACTCTATTCAAGTATATACTTTTCTCAAACATTGTAAGAGTCTTAGAGATGGTAATAGATGAAAGAGGAGATATTTGATAGATAAATAGATGTACACCCTGGCAAAGTGGTGGGAGGTATAATGTGATAGGCCTTCCAATACATTTTGTTGTATAAACATGTGAATATATTACCTATCCAGAACATCATGTTACAATTAATATCTATAGAGGAGACTCTTGCCTTAAAAACACTAGGTACCCCAAGGCCAAAATAATAATTGTTGAATTTTTTTTGGAAGAGCTTTCTTTTCTACTTTTTGGTAGTTGTATTCTGCTAAAAATTTGTTTTCAAATAAATTAAGGTACCATCAATGAATTTCAATAAAAGAATACTTGTACAATTAGAAATAAATTTGGTACCAGTACAAGTATTACTTTAGATTATGTGCATCCAAAAAAAGGGTGTTTTTTAATTATATGTTTTTTGGGGTGTAGATCAAGAATCTGAAATCTGTTTTTGGTGGTCGGCATTGGAAATTTTTAACGAAACCTGTTCCTAACTGAACCTAACCTGCAAGGTTTTTGTTGATCAGCTAGGTTTTTCTATGTTTGGAGTCTGTCTGGCGGCCGGAAAAACCTAGCCAATAGGTTTTTTCTATGTTTGGAGTCCGTCCGGCGGCCGGAAAAACCTAGCCAATAGGTTTTTTCTATGTTTGGAGTCTGTCTGGCAGCCGGAAAAACCTAGCCAATAGGTTTTTTCTATGTTTGGAGTCCGTACTGCGGCCGGAAAAACCTAGCCAAGCAACGAAAACCTTGCAGGTTAGGTCCAGTTAGGAACAGGTTCCATTAAAAATTTGCGATGCCGACTGCCAAAAACGGATTTAAGATTCTTAATCTACACTCCAAAAAACATATAATTAAAAAAAACACCCTTTTTTGGATGCACTTAATCTAAAGTATTACCATAAATTCATTTAATAATATCTTCAATATCATCCACAAAATTTCATGAAGCCAAAGATTACATCCACCATTCTAAATGAACCATTCCAAGGTTCCCATGTCATTAGCTTTTTCTTTCTGCTAGTTTTAACTGTAATAGCAAACATACCCACAATGAGTGTCATTTTCATTAGTCATATAGGGAGCTATTTCATGATTACAAACCTGCATTTAGATCAGAAAAAATTTATAATTTTGTTTGTAAAAATTACTTATCTGAAAATAACTGCAAAAATTTGCATACAAAAAAATTTGATCAAAATAATTTCCTTTTGTCAAACAACTGAATCCCAATGTAATAGTTAGTGTTACTGTGTTACACAGTCAACAAAACAAGCTATTATTTACAGATTCTTTTTATGGCAAAAGCAGTCTGCAGCCTCTGAAGATGATGAAGCCATTACATTAAACAATCAAATTGAAAGCAAGCATGGAAAACATCTTTACAGCCACAAGCCAGACCATAATTTCTGCCAGATGAATTACCTCCTATCTAATTGTTAACAAAATTGCACAATTGGGCTGCGAGATTCCAAATGTAGTAAAAATTTGTCACGTTGGAGCTGGGAGATTTCAGAAACAAGTACCGTACCTAGGAAAATTCCAATCCTGTAATAACTGCTGTACATGTTCATACATTATCCTTTCAAATCCAATTTAGCTAGAAATAAAAAAAAAACATGAATAATAGATAAATTAACCCTTTTCAGCTCATTGGCACATATATGGCACATTAAACAGCATGATGTAATATTGCATCATACATCGCTCTTGGTTGAGACAAGCCTGAACAAGTGTACTGGAAATGCACACCAAACCTGCTACAACATGTTCATATGAGTACAACCCCTTAAGCCTGCCAGTTTGTGCTCTGCTGTCACGTTGAAAAGAAGTGTCACTGTGTTCTGCCAAAAATAATGGCTTCCAGGGGAAAGTAAGTATATTTAGCACATTTCTTTGAGAACCAGGTTCTTTTGGTAACTGCATATGTTGAACAAGTAATAAACTGACCTCTCTAGTTAACTTTCACATTTGTATAATGCATTATTTTTTCTGGATATCATTTTATATTTGCTGTGCCATATATGGTTTGCTGAGCTAATGCAGGTACATTTTTCTGAGTACACATATTTCTTGAATATCGAATTTCTAGCATGTTCTAAGTCCATTTTATGTTTCATATTTCAGATTCCTGACTATGCATGAGATATTAGGTATATTCGAATAAGATGAGAGCCATGCAGATGTTTATATTGACCCTGATGGTCCCAGCCTATTGACTGATGAAGACTCTGCTGATGAAAGTGATAGTGGATTGATATTTGTCTGGCAGACAACTGACTGGTAATGCTGAAGCTGTATTCAATGACGGACGACATACAACTGAAGATGATTGTGAAGATCAACTGAGTGGCAATGATGAAGCTTTTTTCCAAGACGAACGTAGTACTACTGAAGATGATGGTGAGGCTCATAATTCTTTGCCTATCAAGTATCAATAACTATAAGACTCCCAAATTGAGTCTTGGCACTTTACTCACACCTGGTGACTGCATATTTCCTGAGGCAAATTATGCAAAATATAGAGATATTACTCCAGTTGAACGTTTTTAACTATTTTTTTATGATGATATGTGGAATTTACTAGTGGATCAGACAATTGTCTATGCAACTTTCAAAGGTGAAACAGATTTATTGGTAAGCAAAGATGGAATGAAAGTATTCCTTGGAATTTTTATAGTGTCTGGTAATATTGTTCCTCTATCTTCTCGGATGATGTTTTAGAGAAATTCATCTGTGACAAGAAATAAAGCTGTCTCTCAGGCTATGAGAAGAAAAAGCTTTGAAAGGAGCTGGGAGACCGCCATCCTACTCAACAAAGGGTGACAAAATAAGTGTTAGATGATATTCGTTTTGATGGAATAAAACATTATCTTGTAGAAACACAAGATAACAAAAGAAGAAGATGTGCTGGAAAAGGATGTAAGAAAAAAACCTTTCAGTCAGTGTTGCAAATGTAATGTAGGTCTTTGCTTGGCATGTAAACTTCCATTTCATACCAAATAATGATATGTTCTGAGTATTTACATTCTGATCATTATTTCCTTTTTTACCTTTTACATGCAAGTCCAACTTAAAGTAGGTATTATGTATTTGAACACAATTTGATACTTGAAATAATGTGGTTGAACACTATTTAATGCTAACTAGAAAATTAGTAGTTCACACGATGGATCAAATATTTGTTTTAGTTTTGCCATTTTACAGTAGCCCCACACTCAGGATATAAACGGGGAAATATCTCACGTAAATCAATCTAATTATATTTTTTTGCGCAGACGTTCGTGCAAATTACGGTCATCGATTCCGCGCCGCGCAGCACTCGGCGCGCGCCGCGGAGCCGTCCGACACAGTTCTGATTTAGACACAGTTTTCATCTGAATGGAATGGCAACATCGTCTGTAGATGATTTCAAGTAATGCTGAACCAGCATTGCCAGATGGTATATTTCTATACCAGATCACACAAATCTGGTATTTTCAAAAGGTGTCTGGTATGAATATTTTAGATCTGGTATATATGCCTAAATCTGGTATTTTTCTGGTATTTTCTGACTTCCTGCAAATTTACTGCATTTAGTTCCACCTCTGAAGTTTGAACTTCCTCCAGCGTAGGCGTGGATTATATTATTATTTATATGAATTGCCTTCAGAGCGGCACGATTAGAGCTTTCCCGCCATTTTTGGAACCGCAAGTTTACCACAAGTTTTCATGTCAACCGGAACTCGAACACCACAGCAGAGAGTATTTTATACAGCTAATGAATTTCGCAAACTTTGCTGGAAGAGAGATTATTGAATTTTAGAAAAAAGGCGGGATAATTCAATGAAGGCTGGTGGCAGAGCTGCAATTTTTTAGCTGGGCAATAGGTAACTCTGGAAAAGCCCCAAACTTGATGCACCACCCTTCTTGTTAAAAAGCAAGGCCAAGACATGCTTCAAAAACAGTGAAAAACTCGATCAAAAGTTCAATTTACTGAAAAAGTAGGATATTAACAACGCAAGCAAAATTTACTTGGCAGTTGGCACTGCTAATAACTTGTACATTTGGCCTAGTAATATGTGCATGGGATCATAATTTATTATTGTGGTCGACTGGAGTCTGGACGGGCTGACGATAACACTTTTTGTTCGGGTCCGGGTTGAAGACTTGAACTTGAAGGTGCCGTCAGCAGCCACGTTTTGCCCTTCAACTTATAGTATAATTCTTCTCTTAGCAGTGACTCAGTTTCATTGGTTGTTGGAAGTCATGATGTCTTATTCCTTACGAGACAGATTCATGAATGATGAATGAAAAGGCAGGATTTGGATACTATACGAATAGGCTACGATCATACGAGTTCTGCAGTTTTTTTTTTTTTTTTAATTGGAATTTATGGGAGCCTCTGAAGACTGGTTCAATGCGGCCCCATGTCAGAACAGTTGAAGCAACTTGACTGAATTGTTTTCTTGTACAAAATTGGGTGCATTGAAAAAAAATAACTCAAGATTTCTCAATGGCTGAAGGGTTGCAGAACGGGGCCACCAAAGTGGAGACCACACCGGGATGGAGAGCACCACTCCAGGGCAGACAGCCCCACTCCAGGGCAGAAAGCCCCACTCCAGGGCAGAAAGCCCCACTCCAGGGCAGATAGCCCCACTCCAAAAGTTTGCTAATGTTAACAGCATTATAATACATGCAGAAACGTACATTTTTTTATAGATATTAAAAATTTAGGCTCTATGACTTGTATACTATGTCTATCACAGTCTCGCTGCATGCATTCAAATTCAAATTAGGTCCACCCACACCCCACGGCCAGTGTAGCTGTCAGCTCACCTTCTTCAGAAGTGTGAAAGCTTTTGCCGGTGAAGGTGTGTTTTACGATCGGTCCATAAAGAAGTGTTGATCGGTTCAAAATGACATAAGAACAGGTTCTTTTGAATAACCTATGGATTGGCACCATGATTCCTTAAGTATGATAATGATGGTATCCATGATACTTTACTGGTCTACTTATAGGACTCAAAAATGAACTTGAGGGAGAGTCTAAAAAACTCTCTGCTTTGTCACTATGGTGTACGGTCAGTGTGATTACGTAATTTGCATTGCCGCGCGTCCATATTTAAACTATTTTAGCTTTCTTAAAGTACGGCACTGTCGGCGCATGGCACATTTTTTTACCGGCATAGTACGGCGCACCGCGCAGGTCGTTAAAATGACAATATAAATTCCCACGCACCTGGCACATCTTCCTGACCATGGCAGTAGCCTATTTGGAATAATATAGCAAAAAATATTGAAGACGTTATGTTTCATTGTTAATTTAAGATTTGTAATATCCTAAAAGAGTAATATAACTTGCCAATTTACAAATATATAAGTGCATTTCAGATATGGTTGTTTTTTCTTTCAACATAAAAAAAATGTACTTGCTACTTGGATAGTTGGATATGCTCAGTGGTACATATAATGATATATGGCACATCGTATTATAGCAATACAGCCAATACTATTGTAGGGAAAAGAAAACTGAGATGTTTTCCTAATCAATCAGGTAGAGCCAACACCAAAAATTTGATAAAATATGAAATTACTACAAAAAAAATAATTGGAGCTGAAAAGGGTTATTCAAAACTTTATAATTTTCTTACCATTTTTTAGCTGGGCAATAGGTAACTCTGGAAAAGCCCCAAGCCCCCAAACTTGATGCACCACCTTTCTTGTTAAAAAGCAAGGCCAAGACATGCTTCAAAACTCAATCAAAAGTTCAATTTACTGAAAAGTCCTAAAGTAGGATATTAACAACGCAAGCAAAATTTACTTGGCATTTGGCACTGCTAATAACTTGTATATTTGGCCTAGTAATATGTGCATGGGATCATAATTTATTATTGTGGACGACTGGAGTCTGGACGGGCTGACGATGACACTTTTTCAGTTTTTGTTCGGGTCCGGGTTGAAGTCTTGAACTTGAAGCCTTGAAGGTGCCGTCAGCAGCCACCGTGAGCCACGTTTTGTCATTTAACTTATAGTATAATTCTTCTCTTAGCAGTGACTCAGTTTCATTGGTTGTTGGAAGTCGTGATGTCTTATCCCTTATGAGACAGATTCATGAATGGAAAGGCAGGATTTGGATATTAGGTATACGAATAGGATACGATCATAGGCCTGAAGTTTGAACTTCTGACGAAAAATCGTCAACTGCCTACCGGTAGTCGGCAGATGAGTCCGTAATGCCGGATGGGTCATGGGTCAACGCGGAAATTTATTTGGAGAACTGTAGTTCGAATAATACAAAAAGATTTATCTTGAGAGCACTGCAAATTCATGTCAAGGCCAAGGTTCCTGACACAAGTTAACTGCAAAACAGTATGAATAAATCCTGCACCTTAGGCGTGTGTTAAAAAAAATTAAACAATTAAGAAAAATGCACTCGTATATATCCAGGACGCGAAGAATATGATTATTAAAAAGAAACTAAATGATGCCTAATTCTTATAAACAAAATAAGACTGCAGTACAGAGACTTGATTAAAAATAAATCATTCAAAGTTTAAGCGACACGGTTCTCACAAGAACTATGATTTCTGAACGAAGAAAAATATATAGTACAACTACAAATTTATGGTTAACAAATTATGCATTAGTGGTCCATTCGCAATACACAATGTACGTGTGGTAGATAATGAATCTCTGACTTGTTATTTCATTTCATGAAAATATTGAACCGTAATGTCGGCGAACATGATTGAATGCTAATTCTATTTCTTCAGTGTATTACAACGAAACCAACTGCTCAGGAGTCAATAATACAAGAAGAAAAAATCTGTTATCACAATAACTAATTTGTCACCCATACGCAAAAGAATAATGCTATACTAAGTAGTAGGGCCACGAAAGTTAGATGAGTGATGGACGATAGCACCTGCCGTACGGAACACATGACGCGACCCGCATATGAAAGGCGTCCTGTCGCTCGTTTAGCTTACCTCGCTATAAAAATTGCTGGTCCAAACTTGCACCCGCAGTGCTTCCCGAGACACCCTAGCAATATTTGCGCTAAGTTTGATAAGCGGGATCCGACGAAACAAACTGTCCATCTAGAGGCGATCAAATATCGGCTCCATTAAATCCCTAATCTAAGAATCATATGTCGCCTGTGTAGACGATTGAACAGTGGTTTTTAACGCTTAAACTAAAACAAGTACATCTACTGTAGAGGCGATCGGTAAATGGTTTAGTTAACGATTCAACCAAGCAAATCTTGGTTCTTGCACAGACGATTGATCAATGGTTTCGTTAACGATTCAACCAAGCATATCGTGTTTACCGCACAGGCGATCAAACAGTGGTTCCGATTAACGCTTCACACTATAGTGAAGATTTGTAATTTAAAGTCTGGGTCTCATCAATTTAACAAATAAAACGACAGTGCTATTGAAAATTATTGAAAAATCGTGAGAGGCTGAACAATAGTCGACATAATTTGAAGAATAAAATTCCTGAACAATCAGTAAAGCCAGTATTGAAAAAAAGTTTTTCTCATTTACCGTTAAACTTTAAACCATATTATAAAGAAGAAAATACCGCATAGATACCGTCAACATCACAGAAATCACGTGGCGCTCAAATATACATGACCCTATATTGGAAGGAAGACACAGTATATGTATCAATTGAACATCGAGGATACCATATGAAATTCGCCTCAAATCGCAAACTAAAATAAATTACCGTCGAGAGGAGTCCCAGGGACCACAATGGGTTCGAGCAGAGAGGCGCAGCTGGAGGGCTGGGAGGTGGCCGGCTACGCTGTAGTGGTGCCCGTCATCTGCTGCGTTGGCATCATCTCTAATGCACTCAGTCTCACTGTCATGTGCCGTGTCAAGTTTAAAGAAAGTCTCTATGTATATCTACAAACAATTAGTAAAGCCAGTATTGAAAAAAAGTTTTTCTTGTGTACCGTTAAACTTTAAACCATATTATAAAGAAGCAAATACCGCATAAATACCGTCAACATCAAAGAAATCACGTGGCGCTCAAATATACTTGACCCTATATTGGATGGAAGACACAGTAGCTATATGTATCAATTGAACATCGAGGACATCATATGAAATTCGCCTCAAGTCGCAAACTAAAATAAATTACCGTCGAGAGGAGTCCCAGGGACGACAATGGGTTCGAGCAGAGAGACGCAGCTGGAGGGCTGGGAGGTGGCTGGCTACGCTGTAGTGGTGCCCGTCATCTGCTGCGTTGGCATCATCTCTAATGCACTCAGCCTCACTGTCATGTGCCGCGTCAAGTTTAAAGAAAGTCTCTATGTATATCTTAAAGGTATGCACTCAGTCTCACAGTCCTGTGCCGTGTCAAGTTTAAAACAGTCTCTATGTATATCTCAAAGGTAAAGGCTTTCAAAAAGTCTCACAGTCATGTGCCGTGTCAAGTTTAAAGAAAGTCTCTATTCTATGTATATCTTTACGGTATACGCTCAGTCTCACAGTCATGTGCCGGGATGAGTTTAAAGAAAGTCTATGTATATCTTAACGGTATACCGTTAAGATATACATAGAGACTCAGTCTCACTGTCATGTGCCGTGTCAAGTTTAAAGAAAGTCTCTATGTATATCTTAAAGGTATGCACTCAGTCTCACAGTCATGTGCCGTGTCAAGTTTAAAGAAAGTCTCTATGTATATCTAAAAGGTATGCGCTCAGTCTCACAGTCATGTGCCGTGTTAAGTTTAAAGAAAGTCTATGTATATCTTAAAGGTATGCGCTCAGTCTCACAGTCATGTGCCGTGTCAAGTTTAAAAAAAGTCTCAATCGGAAGTCTCTATCCAGCTTGCGGAAGAATTCTAAACTAACCAAGCCTAACCCTTTCGCGGAAAGGTGGAGAGAAGGGGGTAAGTGTGGAGGAAGAAGATGCTGGTGAGCGTCAGGGCTGGGCTTTCGCCTGCGAAGTCGGTAAGGTGATGCGACAGTCCGGTGCGGGGCCGTTCCCATTTACGGCAGTCTGGTGCGGTCTGCGGACCCTGTGGCTTACGGCAATTGTAAGAAGTGATGGTATGGGCTTAAATCATTGGTGTAGGAGCTATTGGGCGTAATCCGTTTGGAGTATCAGCTTGTGGGCTGAGGCATTGCTTGTTTCAAGCTGGTGTGGCGAGATGAGGCAAGTAAGAACAGCTGCATAGGATTTAGGCTGACTATTTCTATTGCATGTAGAGGGTTGGCATTGGCTCTTGGGCTGATTTAAGAGTCAAATTTTTGGGCTACGGCAGCGCTCCCTCCAATATCTATGATATCCATGACACCTACTTTGCAGTGTGCTGGTCTACTTATAGGACTCAATCTTGAACTAGAAGAAGAGTCTAAATTAACGGGAT